TATCTTTAATATAACCTTACAAACAATACGTACAGTGGAATGTACTATACCGTTTCCTAATAGATAGCATCAATATTATATTACAAATAAGTACAGTTCCTCAAATTTATTTGAGCAACACAATTTTTCATATCGGTTAGATATTTAAGAAAAATAATTTTAAAATACTGATTGACAAAAAGATGAAAGTAAATATTAGTAGGCCTACATTAAAAAAAAGGTTATAATAAAAATTTATAAATTTTTACTGATAGAAAAAAATGGAATGATTAAAAAATATTACTGAATCGTTATTTAAATATTATTTATGTCCATCACATGAACAGATACTTGCTCGAAGCAGATTGTAACTGCAACTGTGAAGACGATAGCTACACGCCAAAGGCCAACATGGGGGTCGTGATGGTCATGGGGATCAACTCGTCATGGTCACAACCGGCTCTGGTCAAGGTCGAGATTGCAACCAGCTGCTACTGTAAGCCACCCGTCATTTCAGGCTAACAACATCTTCCCACGGGAACTACCCACGACAGATGAATGACAAACATATGTAGACTTTATCGGCTGTGGTGAATGGTTAATCAAACAATACCACGTAATACGTCAGAAAAGCCATATTTGTATTATATACAAAGCAGCACAGTATTATTGTATATATTTGTATATAGATCTGTATTTAATTAATTAAATGTATTCTGTTGTGTTTCATTATCTCATGATTATTTTGTAATTAATGTAATTATGTTTCAAAGGGAGATTGGGAGAAATAATGGAAAAAAAATGTGAACATGTTTCAAAAGCGCTATGTTGAGAATATGTCAAAACAATAATCAATGTAAATAGTAACATGGCAAAAATATTATTTTTATTACAAAAGTTACAAACATTTTACATAACGCATGTATAATGTTGTCTCACCACATGTCTCAAATACATTTACCAACATCCTACAAAACTCATGCCTAGTCAATATCTCCAACTGTCTCTAAGATACTAGATCTAGTTTTAATCTTATTTACACGTTTTAACTGTAGACAATAAAAAAAAATGAAAAAGAAAACAACAAAAAAAAATGCCTTAAGAGAATTAAAAATGCCAAATGTTGAATCAATGGTTTTTACTTAGAGAAAACATGATTAAAATGTACTTATTTTTTAGTTCAGCAATGTATTATAGATACATGTATCTGAATGATTCTGAAGTTATAAAAATATTTCGTTTTAAGGTTAAAAACTATTCTTATGAGAAAATTATAGCCTATATCTTTATATATGATAAATGTGATATATTTGTGATACATTATATTTTTTAAAATGCCAACTATCAAATGAAATATTTATTAATTACTCAAATTGAAAATGTTATAATTTTAATTAGAGTACGATTTCTATGTTTCATATTAATGTAATTACTAGTCAGGTAGTCACAGTGAGATGATACAATGTTACTCAGAGGTTGGAATATTTTTTTTTAAATGTCTCTAGAAAAATGTGTCTTTCAAATAGATTGTAATACTTATTGTTATTACAAATTTTGAGGTGTGTTGTATTACTTATCCATGTACAGTTACCCATCTTTATAAGATGAGTTCTATCATGCAAAATAAAGACATAAATTCTGCACATTATTACTTGTTTTTGTGTGAATGGTGGGATGGTGTGGATGAGTGGTAGAGCGTACACTTGCTAATGTGGGGGCCCCTAGATCAAGTCCCTGGCTCGAGTCAGTAGGAATGCAGTGAGTTCTGATGGATACCCGGATCGTTGCGGTCACAATATGACGTCACGTGTCAAGGTCACGGGACTCAGGTGAACTTTATCTGTCTCATAGACGGTCAGGTTCGCAAGAGTAAATTTAATTACTTCAAGTAACTCTGGTTTAATAACATAAACTTTATTGTAAACAAGTATATTAAGCCTTCTACGGGACAACCAAAAACTGCTAGAACTCTTCTTTACCCGCTTAATTGGAAGCGTGTTTTTTACTCAGATGGTTGCCTGACTCACGTTAAGAAAAGTAAAGGCGGCTGTGCATAGTGCTGACCAGTGACCACACTACCCTTGTATATACCGAGGTCCCAGAAAATGGGAAGGCTCCTACCTCTGCATTATGGACGGTCAGGGATTAAAGTGTAACTTGACAACCTTTAACTGACCCAGGATAGCATATATAACCTTCTGGTACAAATAATTTGTTTCGCCTTCTATATGACAAACAATACCCCCTAGACGTATTTCAACTATGTGGGGATTCCCCTAGCAGCGTTTACTTTTTTAACTAAAGAAAATCAAAGAATAGAATTTTTAATTTCTTTTTTTTCTTTTTTGATTTAAAGGAAGAAATCATGATATCTATTTTTATTTTTTGGGACTCTTTTTATAAAAATTTCATACTTTATAACAAGGCATGTGGGATGGGGTACACACAACGTATACAAAGTTGAACGACCACACAAATATCGACCATGTATTTGACCAAGAAAAACACGGAAGGACAACCTTGTTAAAAAAAAAAAAAGAACCGAAAATGTCTTTCTTTTTTAGAGTGGCAGATAATCAGATAATCAGATCAATCTTTCAAGTGGCCCTTGTGAAAACTTGTGTTCTAATTTAAAAAAAAATTATTTAATATTAAGTTCGCGAGCATTACATGTACATGTACATTACATGTAATAAAACAGTACTTTTTACTTAGATTAATAACATTTACGCCACATATTTTATTCATATATAGTTATGTAAATTGATAAAAAATAAAAACATCCTGCAGTGGCGGAACTAAAGAAAAATAACGTCTTTACTTCATATATATTTACAAAAATGTCTAAAGTCAGACCCAACTAAAATTTTCTAAAAAAAGGAATTTTTAAAATACGTTTTGTTTTAATAACATCAACATTATTCAAAGGGATATGCTCAGTTTATTTCCATTTCTTACAATGTAAGATCTAACAATTTTTAAATAATTTTACTATGTTTCTCTATGTACGGTATATAAAAATAAAAGTCGATTGCGGTGTCATGCCGTTCATCCGATCGCCAGCAAACTTGGGTGGGTTCATTAAAATACTCCAGGGAAGGGTTCTGTAAAAAAATCATTTTTAATTTCACAAGGGCCTCGCCAGGCTTCTAATAATAGACAATTAGTAACGCTAACAAATTGCATCAGTTACACTGATGCAATTCTTCTACCACCTCACAAAATATCAAGGGAGGAGGTTGGACAGCATTTTTTAGCGCAATTTCCATACGGACAATTGCGATTATTAACTCGTTATTTCTGGTGATGGATGGATGGATGTGTGTCCGCAGCTTTAAGTCGTATCTCCTCCTCAACGAAGCAATATCGAGGACTAGTTCCAAAAGCAAATATGTTAAGCAAGTTCCGAGGATGATTGTGGGCCAAAAAATTCCCGGAATTCCTTCCTGGATTTCCCGGAAAAGCCAAAAAATCTTTTAAAAAGTGCAGTTTTTGGCCTATATCTCGGCAACCAGACCACTTAGCGACTTGAAACATTTACCAATCGATTTCTGCCATAATTTAGAACAATATTGCCGAAGAAAGTTTTCAAAAATATCCTTTCATTCGGTCACAAAAAATTAATTAAGGAAATTGCGCTTAAATTGGCACTAGACTTTTTATTAACTTGTTTTTCGTTTTATATATCACATGAGGAGAATTTCACTCGTAGTCATCTTTTAACCCTCGTCGAGGTCTATGAGTCAAACCGACAGTTTTGTCATAAGGTCTAGCCATTTATCTAGGAGTTTGCAAAAAATTAGCAAGATGTGCAGACCGTAAGTGCCCTGACCATGACGTCACTCGGCGCCCGAGGGAACACAGCAACAGAAATGGCGGAGACACTAGGAGTTGGCTCCCTTGGTTCTACCGTGCACACGGCCTACAGAGAGCTCATTACAGAGGTTTGGTTTTCTGTAGAATTTTTTAAACAGTTTTACATGGTTGAATGGTTTGATGACATGAGAATTAATGCTTTTTTAAAATTTAAATCAACCATGAATGGAACGGCGAGACCTAAGCTGTAGAGCGCTAGGCTGCTAACCAGAAAATCACGAATTCGAATCCGGGTTCAAGTCAGTAGAACGTCCTTGAGTCCATCCAGTTCTGATGGGTACTTAACTCTCGTTAGGGAAAGTAAAGGCGGCTGGGTGTTGTGCTGAGGTCAAGAAACATGAGCTGTAGTTCATCTGCCCAATGGATCGCTAGGTCTAAAGAGGATTCTTTACTTTTAGACCTTATACTTACAGACTATTAACAATTAAAATGTATTAAAGTTGTGAATGAGAATGATTTTACACAACCACAAAATGCTATCGCAGCATTTTAGCCGTTTAATTTTTGGTTCCGTTTTCAAAATATTTTTTATAGCCGACTAAAAGTAGTTTATTATAGATTCTTTCTATTTCAAAGTGTTTATAAAATCGTTTTTATAAAATAAAAATCTTGATTTTTTAACTGCGGTGGTTTTTCTTTAGGAATAATCAACGTGATTGGAAAATGGAAAATTTACACAACTTTATTATATTTTTTAGCGCAATTTCCATACTGACAATTGCGATTATTAACTCGTCAAGGATGGATGTGTGTCCGATGTGTGTCCGATGTGTGTCCGCAGCTTTAAGTCGTATCTCCTCCTCAACGAAGCATTATCGAGGACTAGTTCCAAAAGCAAATATGTTAAGCAAGTTCCGAGGATGATTGTGGGCTCAAAACATTCCCGGAATTCCTTCCTGGATTTCCCGGAAAAGCCAAAAAACCTCGAAAAAATGCAGTTTTTGGCCCATATCTCGGCAACCAGACCACTTAGCGACTTGAAACATGTACCAATCGATTTCTGCCATAATTTCGAACAATATTGCCGAAGAAAGTTATAAAAAATATCCTTTCGTTTGGTCACAAAAAATTAATTAAGGAAATTGCTCTTAAATTGTCACTAGACTTTTTATTAACTTGTTTTTCATTACACCACAATTTCATATCAATCAACCGGAGAATTTTCCTTGAAAGAAAATCAGCCCCGAAAGACTGTCTCTGATGAAGAAGAGGAAAGGGTGGTTGGCATTAAAGTGGCCCATGTGACCACGGTCCACGACGTAACCTGCCGTCGCTGCCGCAGCCACTGTCCCCGTTTCCATGACATCAATCTTCGTTATGTGGATCACCTTGTCGACAGCAACATCCGCTGTGGGGTGGGAACAACAGCAGGTAAAGGTTGGTATTCATGTGATAGCAATTATATAATTTGTAATGGAACAACAGCAGGTAAAGGTTGGTATTCATGTCATAGCAATTATATGATTTGTAATGGAGCAACAGCAGTGGTTGGTATTCATGTCATAGCAATTATATGATTTGTAATGGAGCAACAGCAGTGGTTGGTATTCATGTCATAGCAATTATATGATTTGTAAAGGAACAACAGCAGGTAAACGTAGGTATTCATGTCATAGCAACTGTATGATATGTAATGGAAGAACAGCAAACAAAGTTTGGTATTCATGTGATAGCAATTATATGATTTGTAATATAAATTAATATTATAATGCCAATTAATTCACTATTTCAGTACCCACCCTTATTTAAAACCTTATACCACTCCCAGAGAAAGTAGAGGAAGGTACACAATATAACCCCAGAAAAGACAGAGTCGTTTTAGCGAGGCGGGATTCGAACCCACCCCTCCACACGGCATCGAATCACCTGCATTCAATCCTTCTTCGTGTGTTTATGCAAAAGCGGTGTATGAACTGAAATTCTATTTACGAGCCGGCCCGCGGCATAACATACGCCGCTATTTAGTTGTTGTTTTTTCTACTTTTCAGTAATTCATAATTTGTGAATTCGACAATACCAACGATGAAACTGAAAATAATTCTTTAAAACACTATAAGTAGCTCGTTAAGGACCATAACCCCCCCTCCTTCCGCCCCCCCTCTCCCCAACGTTTAAAATCGTTTCAAACTAAATTATCTGCCCCTAAAAGCCGTCACTAAACCCGACTCCACGAAGGTAAACATAGCGTGAACCACAGCTCACTAAGACCATGTAGGGGTGGGGATGGTAGGGAGCGCGTTTACAGCTTGTTTTCTAGCGTCTCCCAGAAGAGAATTATATATATAGATTACCTGATATTTTTCTTCGGGGGCGGGGGGGGGGGGGGGGTTGGCAGCGCGGACTAAATTTTCTGGGCTAAAGGACACTGGCTGAAGTATATATTTTGTTACTTTGTATATATATTCTATTTCAATTTAGGGTTGGGGGGGGGGGGGGTGGGAAGGGTAAGGCAGTTTCCCCCCACCCCCCTCCCTTCCTAGAGGTACCTGGAAGAAACGATGTACTTATGATTGTCTTACATACTCTACCAGTTGTATAACTATTTTCATGAACCGTACTGTAACTATCATGTCTATTTATTTTGTCAACTTTGTTTATTTCTAGTTTCGGTTGAAATGTAACCCACCTCCTAACTACCATGTCTCTATGGTCATAATCTACACCTTTTAGATTGACTCTACTGTTCCAATTTTCAAAACAAGTTTTGAACCAAATTTAGTGCATTTGTAAAACTATTAAAACGAATTAAGCAAGGTACTTTTATTTATTGGCAACAATATGTAAATATACCTAATTTATGTTCTTGAGCATGAAAGTACAATTATTTTTAGGATTTAATTACTGTGGGTGTAAACTGGAACCATTCGGGAATTCTAAAATCTAGATAAAATTTAGACAACACGTAATAGGAAAAATTGATAATGCAATTTAAAATATAATGAATTTCTTTAAATTCAGTACTTACCCTAATTTAAAATCTTATACCACAACCTGTGAAAGTAGAGATAAGCAGTGGCGTAGCTAAGTAGCTAAGTCGGGTGTCAACCGGTGCGGCACCTAATGGTGTCACCCCCCAGAGGCGTAGCGACCTTCCCGGGGACAAACTTTCAAACTTTCGATTTGCACCTTCCTGAAGTTTTCGATTTGCACCCCCCCCCCCTCAAGTTTTTCTCAATATATTTTGTTATTTTTTGCCTTGGTGTCACCCCCCCCCCCCCCTCGCTACGCCTCTGGAGATAGTATGCAACCCCAATAAAATGAACCATGCCTACCTTGTTCATCTTTCACTATTTCAGTGCACACCCTTATTTAAAACCTTATACCACACCCAGAGAAAGTAGAGATGAGAATACACCCCCAATAAAATGAATCAATCCCACCTTGACCATCTTTCACCATTCCGGTAAAGTCCGCTGATTCAAAAGCTGCCTCCATACCCAGACTTTTCAAACTCTCACTCAGTTCCAGCTCAGTCTCGATTGTAAATTTAGGAATACTGATCGAAGAAATCGATCGCTCTATCAGACCTGTGAGAAGTTCATCCACCATACCATGTGTGGCGAGCAGTTGTTCTGTGGGAAAGTTGGGAATGTATACGTTATAAAATAAAAAAAAATACTTTTTCAAAATTATATACTTATATTATATATATATATATATATATATATATATATATATATATATATATATATATATATATATATATATATAAATATATATTTTTATATATAGTTGTACCTCGGGATACGAGTTTAATTCATTCCGTAACATATCTTGTATGTCGAATTGCTTGTATTTCAAAGCAATTTTCCCCATTAAATTTATATGAAATGCAATTAATAATCCGTTTCAGTTCACAAAATGCCACCCCAGTTGTTTTTGTTTCGTGTTTATGAATAAGAAAAGAATATTTATAAATAACAAATGTATAAAGACAATAAAGGAAAACGTAAAGAAGTAAACTGGTTTTTATAAAGTCTATAATCTTGGGAAATCAGCCGAGTTCAGCTTAAGGACGATGCCGACAAAGATAGACGGACGAGTGTTTGTTCGTTCACTTACTCACTACACTGTTAAAATGCTCAATCGTTCAGTCACTCTAATACGATTGCTCCTTACACACTTAATGCTACACTTTATCCCTTCATTTTCATCTCCTCTGTTCTCGAAACGCGTCTTAGTCCTCTTAATGACGCCTTCCTTACTTTCACAATAAAGTTTGTTTCTTCTTCACATTTAAATTGATGGCGTGATCGAGTCGGCAAAGCACATGGCTGATAAACCGAAAAGTCTCGAGTTCGAACCCTCGGGCAGATGAGGCCCGATAGCTGGGGACAGCAACTCTTCTAGGAGACACAACTCCAAAATCAAACAACTGCTGCCTTGTAGCTTGATCTCGGTTGGACAAAGGTTATTCAGCAAATCCAAAAAGTAAAGCAGGCTGAAATAGGAGTCAATGGCCTATATGACGCACAACAAGTTGACACGTAATATTTAATTGTGTTGGAGGGAATCTCTCCCTTCACTACAATTAAGGACGCAGAAGAAGAAAAGTTGCTGCAGAAATATTTTTTAAATAGCAGCAAATTTTCAAGGGTTTTTTTTTTGCATCCCGCGGATTCGGTTAATTGTATTTCAAATTTTGCTCGTAACTCAAAGCTAAAAACAAATCATTCTCGACTGCTCGTATCTCGAAAATCTCGTATTTCGGAGCACTCGTATGTCGAGGTACCACTGTAATTTTTTTGTATCCACGCACCCAAATTACTGATGCCATCAATCTCTTCCGGTAAGGCAATGAACAGACTGAATCTTTCACCCCTAAACGGTAGCTCAACCACTCCGACTTTGTTAATGTTGTCATGCTTGTAACTGACCTTGAAAAGGCCGTTCATCATTTGGACCTGCACGTTCAAACATACACCAGAGTGAGCATTGCTATCTTGAGACATTCGGTCCAATATGGGTGAGTTTGTAATTGTGCGTGTTAAGTGTGTAATTTGTATGTGTGAGTACTATGTGACTATGTAATTTTTGTGTTTACATGTGTTTATGAGCCGGAGTGTGTGTATATTGTGTATGTGTTTATGTGTGTGTTTGTCAAAGTTGGTGTTAATTTAAAAAAAAAATCATATGCTCATTCAATAAACAGGTTTTTTTTTTAAATTGATGTAAAAATTGAAGCTTCATATTTTAAAAAAAAGTTACTTTATATAATAGACTACCGGTTTAAAAAAAAATGATGTTTAACCTTAAGGCTGATATTTTTTAAAAAAATGCCATTTAACTTTAAAGTTGACTTAAAAAATGCTTTTTAACTTAAAGGGCTAGTATTTAAAAACAGTTCAAGTTCACCTTTAAATCCGGTATTCAAAAAAACAAGTTAATTAAAAAAGTCTAGTGACATTTATGCGCAATTTCCTTATGTTATCTAAAAATAGCTCTGACGTATAATGCTGGGTTGCGTTCAAGCTAGAAGAACGATCGGTTTGTAGGTGTTTATGTAATTTTAAAATTTGTGACCGAACGAGAGGATATTTTTGAAAACTTTCTTCGGCAATATTGTTCTAAATTATGACAGGAATCGATTGGTACATGTTTCAAGTCGCTAAGTGGTCTGGTTGCCGAGATATGGGCAAAAAACTGCATTTTTCGAGGTTTTTTGGCTTTTCCTGGAAATCCATGAAAGAAACCCGGAATTTTTATGGCCTATGTTCATTCTCGTAACTTGCTTAACATAATTGCATTTAGAACTAGTCATCGATATTGCTTCGTTGAGGAGGAGATACGACTTAAAGCCCGGACACACATTCATACATCCATACATTCATTCATTCATCCATCCATTCCCAGAAATGACGAGTTAATAAACGCAATTCTCCAGAATGGAAATTGCGCTAAAAAAAATTGCTGTTCAACTTTAAGGCCAAAGTAAAAAAGAAAAATGCTGTTTGACCTTAAGGCAAAAAATAAATTGCTGTTTAGCTTTTAGGCCAAAACTAAAAAAAATGCTGTTTAACTTTAAGGCCAAAACATTTTTGAAAAAATTGCTGTTTAACTTTAAGCCAAAATTTAAAACAAATGTTACCTCGCTGACAAGGCCACCGGGCTTGTAAAATTCTCCAGAAAGTGTCATTTCTTTGTAGAACGGAAACTTCCAAGTCGCGTTGAAGATAATTGTGCTCACCAAAAGCATAACCGTGTTAGGTTTGATGAAATCTTCAATTAGAATGTAGATATTTTGCGTTTTACAACAAATATTGTCGCCTAGCCAGGGACTTAGCTTTATCTGTAAGAACAGCCACAGCCATAGCCATAGCCATAGTCACGGCCACGGCCACGGCCACGGCCACGGCCACAGCAACAGCCACAACTACAGCCACAGCCACAGCAACAGCAACAGCCAGAGCCACAGCCAGAACCATCGCCATCGCCATCACCATCGTAGCCGTAGCCGTAGCCGTAGCCGTAGCCGTAGCCGTAGCCGTAGCCGTAGCCGTAGCCGTAGCCGTAGCCGTAGCCGTAGCCGTAGCCATAGCCGTAGCCATAGCCATAGCCATAGCCATAGCCATAGCCATAGCCATAGCCATAGCCATAGCCATAGCCATAGCCATAGCCATAGCCATAGCCATAGCCATAGCCATAGCCATAGCCATAGCCATAGCCATAGCCATAGCCATAGCCATAGCCATAGCCATAGCCATAGCCATAGCCATAGCCATAGCCATAGCCATAGCCATAGCCATAGCCATAGCCATAGCCATAGCCATAGCCATAGCCATAGCCATAGCCATAGCCATAGCCACTATTTCCCACCTTCCTTAAGGGCGTGTTGAATGTTGTTCTTCGTTGCCTCAGAAATGAAGTCGTTGATCTTCTTCTCGTTGCCACCAAGGACAGATAAGTTAAAGTTATCCACCTCGGCGAAGTAGTTGTTCCTTACGTCTTCAACAAACTGGGTCTCGATCTCGTACTTGGGATTGAGAAAAATGGCGCTGCATGTGTTGATCTCAACATCCGTATACGAGTTTAGCTAAATGTGTTGGACACTTGAATCATTATCATGAAATATATTGGTACTTTTATTTATGAATATATATACAAATACACATACACATACACACGCACACACACACACACACACACACACACACACACATATATATATATATATATATATATATATATATATATATATATATATATATATATATATATATATATATATATATATATGTGTGTGTGTGTATTTGTGCTTGTGCTTGTACGTGTGTTGTAAAGAAGTAGTAAGTATCCCTATCGAGCCTGGGAAAGATACAGTACATTTCACCTATTTCTGTAACCTCAGCATGAAGGGCTAGTGTGGTCGGTACTGTACCCAGCCGCCTTTACCTTCCCAACAGCGAGTATGGTACTCATCAGATATGAATGGCCTCATTGACGTCCGACGGTTCCGATCTCGAGACTATTGGATTAGCAACCGAGCGCTCTACCGACCGACCACTCAGAGTGTTATGCATACAAATTTAAAAGTAAAGAATCCTCTTAAGACCTAACGATCCATTGGGCAAATGAAGTAGAGTTCATATGCTTCTTGACCTGGGCATATGAAGGGATAATGTATACAGCACTTTGCCCAGCCGCCTTTACATTCCCTAACATGAGTTAGGTACCCATCAGAGCTGGGTGGACTCAGGGACGTTCTACTGTCTTCGAACTCGACACTTTCGGGTTAGCAGCCTAGCGCTTAGGCCACGCCGTTCCATGCATGGTTGATTTAAATATTTAAAAAAAAGCATTAATTCTCATGTCATCAAACCATTCAACCATGTAAAACTGTTTCAAAAATTCTACAGATAACCAAACCTCTGTAATGAGCTCTCTGTAGGCGGTGTGAACGGTAGAACCAAGTGAGCCAACTCCAAGTGTCTCCGCCATTTCTGTTGCTGTGTTACCTCGGGCGCCGATTGACGTCATAGTCAGTGCCGAATGGATGCTGGGAGACAAAAACACTTAATCAGGTACACGCTGGGTGGAGCGGATATCGAAACACTACACTGGGGCTGGAGCGGATATCGAAACACTACACTGGGGGTGGAGCGTATATCGAAACCGTACTCTAATAGGAGAGGACATTAAATCTTTACACTGAGAGGAGCGGATATCGAAACCCTCCAGTGGGGTTGAAGCGGTTATCGAAAACCTATACTATTTACTGTACACCAAATACGCATTCACAAAAAATATAAACACCCCGGCACACACACAAACATACATACACATGCATACACGCAACTTCACATACACATGAACACATACACATACACAAACAAATACAAATCCTCACAAACAGAAAATTGCGCAAATGCAAATTAATTATAATAATACACTCTAATTTTGTCCTATTTCCTGGAAATTAATTTTATAATTTAAACACCCCGGCACACACACACAAACATACATACACATCCATACACGCAACTTCACATACACATGAACACGGACACACACAAATACAAATCCTTACAAACAGAAAATTGCGCAAATGCAAACTAATTATAATAATCCACTCTAATTTTGTCCTATTTCCTGGAAAAAAGTTTTATTATGCATCAACGTACATATGGTCATTCTCTGTTACTGTCTATGAATGCTAGATTTAAGAAAAGAACAAGGCCCTTGGGCACATTTTTGTGCACATTTTTCCGTTACGCAACTGTCCGGTCACCCAAACACACACAACCCTACCTGTATGGTTATACGCCATGTATTATAAACACACAATCGCAAACATAGGGGCCTACACGAATACAGTCACAAACAAATAAACACACACATACCCTACCTGTATGGAGGTTATAAACCATGTATTATAAACACACACTCGCACACATACATGAATACAGTCACAAACAAATAAACACACACATACCCTAACTGTATTGAGGTTATACGCAATGTATTATAAAAACACAATCGAACACATACATAAATACAGTCACAAGCAAACACACACATACCCTAACTGTATGGAGGTTATAAACCATGTGTTATAAACACACAATCGCACACATACATAAATACAGACACAAACAAACAAACGAACACATACCTTACCTGTAAGGAGAGAGGACGACATTATCTCTGCCCAGGGCCACCTTCTGGTACAGTCTCTGGGAGAAGCCAGAGGTCGCTGCCGACAGGGCCAGCTGCTGTATTGGGTCGGCACTGACCAGCTGCCCAGCTATGGCTAGAATCACGACAAGATGAGCCATCAGATCGCTGGAGTGAAAACAACAGAATCACGACAAGATGAGCCATCAGATCGCTGGAGTGAAAACAACAGACTTCAAGGGTTTAGTACAGGGGCTCTAAAACTTTTGGAGGTACCGTACCCCAGCAGTTGTATATGCGCATTCAACGAACCCTTCTTAATAGTTCTATCGCACAGACTGAAAAAAAATCCGATCGTAAATCATTTTAGTCGGGTGAGTCCCCTGGTCTAATGCCCAGCTGCTTTTGCTTCCTTAATTTGTGTCAGGTACCCATCATAGCTGAGTGGACTCAGGGACGTTCTACAGACTTGAATGCGGGATCCGAACTCGAAACTTACGGGTTAGCAGTCTATCGCTCTACGGCACGGTCACCTTCATACTTACTAACTGTTAATGTATTTCTCTACACCAATGGTTCTCAACCTTTTTAGAGGCACAGAACCCCACAAGTTTCATATACGCTTTCATCGAACTTTTCTTAAAAGTTATATCGTCCGTAGTGTAGAAATCCAATCGCGAATAAGTGAATCAAATGAGTCAGGTGTGCACCTTGACCTCTGCCGTACGCCTAAGACGGACTCACTGAACCCCTGGGTCTCGATTGAACCCAGGTTAAGAACCACTGGTTTAGTATGGTAAGCACCTCAGTATTTAAAATTTTATAACATAAACCAATAATTACTTACGTGTAAGATTTTTCAGTGTGGTTTGCGATACCTTTTCTTATCACTTATCATTTATATTATCATTTATTTTACAGCAGTTTTAAAACCTAAACTACTTTCAAAATAAACAGCACCTTGAACATATTAATACTTTATATAAATGAAATAAGCTTTTAAAAATATAATTAATGATAACATATTAAAGATATATTAAAAAACGAATCAAAAATGTATATGAAAAATATATTGTTATTCGAATACGTATCACAGTTCTTTTATCAGCAGACCGTATTTAGTTATAAACTAGTTCGAACAGTGATTTATAAGACATGAAGAGAACTCTTTTGTTTTTTTACATATAAACTTGACAACAATGAATCCTACAAAACATAGATTGACTCTAAACCTACCTTGCTTGTGGAGTGCCCAGGTAAAGATCCACACAGGTAATATTTAGTTTCCTTACGAGCCGACAGTGCTTATTAATTTTTTGTGGCGTTGCACGCGAGATCAGAGGTTTTTTTTTACGTGAACTCCGGCTAGACGTTGTGTTAATGTTGACTCGGTCTAAAGTTTAAATTTTTTGGCGGCCTCGAATATTTTAAGCTAGAGTTAAATGCCGAGGGACCGCGTGGCCTAGCGGTAGAGCGGTAGACTGCTAACTCGAAAATCTCGAGTTCGAGTCAGTAGAACGTTCCTGAGACCACCTAACTATATTGGGTACATAATAAGTTAGGGAGGGAAAAGACTGCAGGGGTTAGTGCGCACCACACTATCCCTACATGAACCATATGAACTCTACTTTATCTTCCAATTGTATCGCTAGGTCTAATGAGGAAATTTTACATTTTTAAGATGCTGAGAGTACGTGCATTTAATTGTAATAAATAAAATTTTAAAATAACATAACCATTAAAAAAACGTTGGTAATTGTAGTATAGACTTGAATTCAAATAAAACGGTACTGAACAGTCAAAATTCTTTAAATATCATATCTACTTTAATAATTCTCTTCTTTTAAACCTCAAAAATAATTTTAAAAAATTTCTTATATGCTTAGAAACTTTGTAATTATCAAGCTCATCAATACATCATTTACGATGTTGATGTTTACATCGGTCAGCCTAACCTGACCGCCTCATAATGACGCACGTCAAACTAATTTTAAACGTTCTATTTTTTGCCTGCTAACTGACATAAATATACATTGTATCTCCATTCTGAATACGCTCGTCTTTAAATATTGTCTTGCTGGAGACATACATTTTTTGCCCCCAGAATATGAATCTATTATGGGATTAAAAAAAATAATTACATATTTTCGGGCATGTTGTACTTCTTGATTACTGTTACATAATAGGAGGTAGGTAGTGTTTAGATTTGTGTTGATGAAGGTAAGGAGACAGACTCTGCACTGTTGAGTTTTAATGACAGCACATCAAACAATATATATATATATATATATATATATATATATATATATATATATATATATATATATATATATATATATATATATATATATATATATGATTTTGTCTTAAAATTGATTTATCTTCTCCGTATTAATAAATTAATTAAAATCGCTATTCTGATAATTTATGTGTTTATTTTCTTCTCTAGGTAAATTTGAACTTGAAATAACATAAACATCACGCTAAAATATCATCTCAATTCTGCATTGTCTTGGATCATCTACAGCTGTTCGTTATCTTTCCTTCTAATCAGACCAAAGGTTGAATTATAGTGTTTTATAAACATTGCTGGGTGTCTCTTTCAGTTGAAAGGGCTTGAAATGGATAAACATAAAATGTGGTTAAATGAGAATAATGCTATATGTAAGTTATGCCGAAGGGAGATTTTTTTGTCAGGAATGGGCGAGAGCTCAGTTTGGTCTCTTGCATCTGGTAAAAACGTCAACAGAGTTTCTTCCAGGCATCTCTTCCGTAGGGAGGGGGCGAAGCCCTCCGAAAATTTTTTACCGCCCCCCCCCCCCGAACGAAATGAAATTTATATAATTTATATAGAAAATATATACTTTCAAACAGTGTCCGCCCCCCCCCCCCCCTCCGAAGAAAGTCTAACGTCCCCCCGAAAATTTAAAAAAAAAAAAGTCTGGAAGAAACACTGAACGTCAAACGTTCATAAACATCAGGTGCTTCCTTCTATGAAATCCTTCCGGTAAAAACAAAAACTGTTTTAATACTAGAGAACAAGCAATTTTTTTCTCTACAGCTTTTTAAAGGTACATCCGAATATGCGTGTCCACTAAAAAAAAAATTGGTAAAATTTTTTTGGTACCTATGGCAACGGCGGTTCTATTCTAGTCCGTTGGTCTCTTCTTAAAACTAGAATTCGTATTTCTAATAGACTCATTATGAATTACAAGGGTCATAATCCTATTCTTCCTCTTAAAAATATTGTCACTAACTTTTTCTAAGAGCGTATTTTAAAAACATTAATGTTCAGTTTTTATTTAAAGTAGATTTTCTTTGTAATTTAATTTTAAAGATGCCAACATTGCACATCCTAAAAATACCAAGAAATTTATTTCAATTTTAGACTATCAGTGGTCAGTTACTGACATCCCTGGCTAGGTCTAGCTGTGTTCCTTTTAACTGGTGGTTGGTGCTAGTGTCTTGGTACTGTCTGGTAGTCTTAATTATAGTAATTGATTATTATTTGTATTCAGCTATCTTCCAGAATCACTAATCATCCAGGATATTTTTCTGTTAGTCTATATGTGTCAATTGGTTTCAGATATTTTAAACTGATTAGTTGTTTGTAACCATTTCTTTAACTATCGATATGTTTCTCAAGGGTCTCACTTGTCATCAAACTCTCCAATACACAATTGGGATTTCTGAGTGCCAATCTAAAGAAACAATTGACTATTTTAAGGTTAATCCAGCTATCAAAAGAAGACCATTCATTACTTACTTCATTCCATTCTCACACACAGAGATTCTTTTTATTCTTAATTGTAATATTGGAGAGGATTTCTCCAACACAATTCAATATACAGGTCAACATGTTATGCACCATATGGCCCTTTGACTCTGATTTTAGCCTGCTTTACTTTATGGATTTGTTTCCATAGCCTTTGTCCTCCTAGAACAATCTACAAGGCAGCAGTTGTTTGATTTTGGAGTTGTCTTTCCTAGATAGACTGCAGTTCCCATCTATGTGCCTGAAGGTTCGAACTCTGGACTTTTGGAGTTAACAGCCATGAGCTCTCCAACCAGAACACTCGCTCTACATAGATTTAAATCTACACCATTTATTTGTTTATACAGTTCATTTTATTGTTTTACCTATTCTAATGAAAGAACTTTTGTTTGATGTTTCAATAGATCTTTATACAAGAAACAAAACTATGTAGAGTCTCTACAATTTGTTGAAGAGGCGCTGCAAATCTTTCAAGATCCTGGCCTGGAACAAATGGCAGATAAGATCAGAGCAAGAATATCTGAGCAATCTTAATCCTACGCCTTAATCCTTACTGGCCACCACGGCTAATTTAACACAACTAATATACCAACGAATCAGTTCAAATATCTGAAACACATCAATAGTTAAAGAATATCTGAGCAATCTTAATCCTACGCCTTAATCCTTACTGGCCACCACTGCTAATTTAACACAACTAATATAACAACTAATCAGTTCAAATATCTGAAACACATCAATAGTTAAAGAATATCTGAGCAATCTTAATCCTACGCCTGAATCCTTACTGGCCACCACTGTTAATTTAACACACTTGTAGATGAGCAATGTCAATATGCCTATTCCTAATGTCAGGCAATGTTAAGCCACCTGTTCTAATTGACCATCAATGCTAATCCCGAAATTGTTTTGGTTAATCCAACACTTCTATTGTCCAGGATTGATAATCTACTCATCATAGTTTATCTGTATAATGATATTAATTAAACTCATCGATATATCTCCTTTATGTCCATAAACAACTAACGACCTACAGACTTCTTCGCCATGTCCGTTGTTGTTAGCCTGGGCAGCTTTACAATGGTAGGTCATTACTTGATAACAATTTACGCATAATGCTATGTTTGTTTGTTTGTTTGTTTGTTTGTGAGTTTGTGGCAAATTTTGTAGTGCACTTCTAATGCAGCGATTTCGTTCAAACTTTCCAGATACGTTCCACTTTGATGACAATACAAGTCTGTCTATTCTTAAATTTAATTAGATGTTTAATTAGTCATAAAAATCAATTAAACAGTTTCGAAACTAAGGGGAGATAACAAAATGAAATCACTCAATAGATTACTATATTCAATAGCAGAAGGGGAGATAACTTATATCAACTACCTAGACGCGATCACCCTAACAGTCTGATGAACTGCGCTTCACCGGAATACTTACAATCGTCGAGTCGGTCGATCTAGTGAAGGCTATTAGGGGCAGATAATAAGGCTTTTAAAGATTTGATAGATTTGAAACTAAGGGGAGTTAATAAGATTTAGAGCTACTGATGGTATTTTAAATCAAATATTTTTAGTCGTGTCGACTTCATAAATTAGGATTTACTAAAAAGTAGAAAATAATAACAAATATAAAAAAACCTCTATAGCAACAAGCTTTTAAACGCACTGAAAATAGGAAAATAAAACTAATTTGCTTTCTTTCTTAAAAGCTTTTGTCTCAAAAATATGTAAAAGATCTCATGAGCGACCAAAGCTTTATTTAAGAAAACAAATTAGTTTTATTTTCTTATTTACAGTGCATTTAAAAGGTTATCGCTATAAAGGTTTTTGTTTTATATTTGTTTTTATTAATGAGTTGATTTGGAAGACTGCTTTTGAATTGGTATACAAAAAATTGTTTTTTTTAATGTCAATCATAATGCACATTAAATTGTCTCCATTATGTTTTTGTTTGTCTTTCTTTGATAGCCTTTTAAAATTTAATAACAAATTAACAGAGTGTTTACGGTATTGGGTTTAAGCCAAAAATAAATGTGCTTGAGTTACATCAGGGGTTCCCAACCCTTTTTTTTTTACTCTAGAGCACATTCTAAAATATCGGTAGGGTGGCGGGCACCACCTATTTTAAATCCACAAACTCCTTCCATAACTTGTCATTTTCCCATAATTTATTTTCTTATTTTCTTTTTTTCTTATAGTCATAATGTATTAATAAATAATAAACAAAAATGTTTCAAAATAATAAAATTATTTGGCTTTTTTTTTCAAATTGCATACAGACGGAGAAATGTATTTACAAAACGTAAAGAAAGTAAATAAAACACATAAATACAAAGAAAACATTTAATTAAAAAATATAATAAAGTCAATGTGATCTTTGGCATTGCATTTCATTGGCCAGAGCTTCATAATTAGGAGCGTATGACGATAATCCTGTTAGCAGACAATCATAAAGATGCTCATCGGTGAGTCGAGATCTATATCTTGATTTTATTAAGTTCATGTTTGAAAACAATGATTCGCATAAATATGTCGAACCGAAAATCATTCAATTTTCTGTGTGTACAAGGTGTGATGTGCAAATGGCACTAGCCGTTCCAGGCTAGCGTAAATAGTGCAGTCTGGCTCGCCGCTAGACAAGTTGGGACAAGTATCGAACATATTTAATAAACCTAGGCAGTCAAAAAAAAAATTAAAACTGCAACAAATGAATTAAAATAAATCCTATTTTAAAATAATGTTTATGAAAAAAATCCTGTCTCTGTCGAATAGTGAGAGGCGGGCACATACGAATCGTTCAGCGGGCGCCATGGCGCCCGCGGGCACAGGGTTGGGAACCCCTGGTCTACATTTTAAATGTAATGTTACATCTAGGATACATCAAAGGTCTGAGTTAGTTTTGCTGTATGAAAGCTTTTATGAAAGCAACCGTTCTTATATTTAGATTAATCTAAGTATACTTTAATGTTTGGTTATGGTGTTTCTTTATTAAGCAAAAATGTGCCTGATCGTAAAAAATGATTTCCAATGAATCAACAGATCTAACAAGGTCTGTAAAATATACAAATAAAAAAATAAAAAAAATAAAAAATACGCATAGCTTTTTAAATATGAGATAAACAAGTCCTTATATTATCAGTGAAAAAACATTTACAACTTTTTGTTTAGACCTAAAGAGTTGGTTGCTCAGTTTCTTTGGTTTGAATTAAAAGAAAACGTGTTACCTACGATAGCCTACTCATGAACAATGCAATGTTTTCAATGTTTTCACATTACCGTAAAGTAGCATCATCATAAACGCGCTAGTTGCTAAACATAGGCTATAAGCCTGCATGCTAGATAGCTAAAAAAAATGTGTGTACAAAATTTTATTTTCTCAAACATTCATTAGTGAGAACGTAAGGGTATAATCTTCATGAATGAAAAAGGTAATATGTTTTCAGTAAAAAGAATCAAGTTAGAGTTGGAAGGTATTGATTAGTAATTAAGTACTTCGCTGTTATTGAACACATATTAAAACGTTTCTAAATTTTTTATCGCTTTGTGACTCGATATATTTTTCTTGTTACAGGTTTCAACATCAGTTGGTACAGGACTAAAGCAACAATTAACCTTAAGCTCTCAGTTAAACCAAATACCCAGCCAAACATGGGACATCGGCCTAAAAAAAACTAGGGAAAACTCTAAGAATGAGCCACCATATTTCCAACAGATTGAGTACAACGACCACAACATTGACGTTTTGAAAAGCCTTTCTGTCGACGGCAATTACTACATAGCGCTTTCAATGTATGAATATAGAGAATGGTTCAACTGTGAAAACTGCATCAGAATTGTTGATCCTGACGATTACACATGGTCTGTGAAATTAAATGTCACCTACAGTAAGTATCTGTTTTATTATGGACAGGCTTTGGTTCTTCAGTAACGGAGGATCGCCCACAAATGACGACACGCCCTGGTTAATTATTAACACAGTGGGGGTGGGGTGAGGTGTGATCTGTGTCTGTTTTTTTTTTTGCGACAATGAATAACCGCTGGGAAGATCGAAACTCGTAACATGACGTCATTTGTGGTCAACCCTTCAGAGAGTTAATGTTATCTTTAATAATTCTGTGCAAAACCGTTTCCATAACAACATTATACCTTTTACCAGCTTCATTTTACTTTTTCTTTTTATTTCTCGTGTACAGAGTATAGAGAAAGTATTGTAATTGTATTCGTGCACACAAATTAAATGCAATTTTAAGTAGTTTTTACAATTTTGGCACCTCTTTGTTGTATAGTATAAGGAAACAAACTTTCAACTTTTCCAGTAATCGGAAGTGGTATTTTACTCAATTATCTCTGAAAAATTGTTTCAGTTAGGTAGTCGAAATTTTATAAATAAGTATACGATCTAATACTTGAATTGCTCTCAAATTTTTATCTAGGATATCCAGAATTGGTACTTTACTCTATTTCTGTTCTCTAAAATACAGACAAAATAAGTACCGCTTCAGTTAGATAAACGAAATTTTATAAATAGGGATTACATCATATGTTTTTAAAATGTGTCAAATGTTGAGTGATTTCCAAAGAATGGAAGTAGTTTTCTCAAAATATATCCCTTCCACCGAATTGATTTGTTTCAAACTTTACATATAGGTCAAGACTAGATGTCAATGTAGTGCGACATAAAATGTAACTTATTTAGATGTTTAATTAATTATTATTTAAAATTAATTATAGTTTCCGTAGAGAGTACTTATTTTTTGCTCAATTATGCACACAATGTTTATTTCCATTTGTTATGCATTTCTTTCTTCTACTCTTCTCTCTTCTTCTTCATCTGCGTTCTTAATTTTTAGTATTGGAAGATTTTTCCTCAAACACAATTTAAGTATACGTGCCAAATGGTTATGCGGCATATAGGCCGTTGACTCCGACTTCAGCCTTCTTTTCTTTTTGGATTTGCTTCCATAGCCTTTGTTCAACCAAGAACAAACTACAGGGCAGCAGTTGTTTGATTTTGGAGTTGTCTCTCCTAGAAGAGTGGCTGTACCCAGCTGTCGGGTCGGTAAACCTAATAACCTTTTACGACTCGACCACGCCGACCCCCTTTTTTCTACTCGATTCTGATCTATTTAAAAAAAAAAAGTATAACTTTTTCCCCTATAGCTAGATTACACTGAAAGTACCATCGCCCTAATTGTTATAGAAACTTATACGAGAAAGTATAGGGGAGACGGGGGGGGGGGAGGGAGAGGGGGGGGGGGGGGGGGAGACGGGGGGGGGGGTCACTGGAGGTTCGATTGGCTCGTGTAACTGTACGAAAAACAAAACATGTACCGTCGATTTATGGCGTTTCCAATAGATATATAGCAGCCATTAGGCAGCTATATGGAGGCACCATTAGGCAACGTTTTAGAGAACCATTAAGCAAAAATATCGGAGAGCCATTAAGCAAAAATATTAGGGAACAATTAAGCAGCTATATCAGGGAACAAATAAGCAACTATATTAGGGAACCATTAAGCAATTATTTAGGGAAATTTAAGCAAATATATTAGGGACCCTGTAAGCACATGTATCAGGGACCCATTAAGCAATTTTTTAGGGAATAATTGAGCAAAAATTTTTAGAGACCCATTAAGCAGCAATTTTTCAGGGCCTCGTTATTAGCTATATTGTGGTCGGTGTGGTAGAACGCTCGCTTTCTATCCCGAAAGTACTGAGTTAAGAACACTGGCTGTAGACAAAAAGTTATTAGATGACCTAACAGCTCTTCAGTAACATTGTTACCAATAAGAACAAACTGTAAAAAAAAAACGATACACTGGACAAAAAGATTTTTTTATAAATATATGCAATTGTTTAATAATAGCATTCTTTATTAATAAAACTGGATGGAAAATTAACGATACCAAGTTTGTCCTGAATAATCATACAATTTTTTTAAAAATATTTAAAATAACATCTTACTTTTTTAGAAAAAAAATTTTGAATTATTTTGTGCAAAGTTACGACATATAAATTAAATAACCATAATGTAGCCCTAACAAACTTAACGTTTTATTGATGTTTTTTTTGTGCTATCTGTTTAACATTCTTCAAGTTTAATTCACTAACATATTCTAGGGTAGTTTCACTCATCAAATGATGACTAAAATAATTTTGAATTTAATGCATTTTGAATTTAATTTACGATCTTCTATTGTTTCACTATTGACACCTAATTAAAATTTAAACTTATTTAGTAAGAAGTTTATATTAAACACGTTTCCTTATTTAGCAAGAAGTTGATGTGAAACACGTTTCCTTATTTAGCAAGAAGTTGATCTGAAAGACGTTTCCTTATTTAGCAAGAAGTTGATGTGAAACACGTTTCCTTATTTAGCAAGAAGTTGATCTGAAAGACGTTTCCTTATTTAGCAAGAAGTTGATAGACCAGATAATAGGCTGGCAGTACTCCAAACACAGCGACAAAGAAATCTGTTGTGTAAAAAATGTAATCACAAAATATATGTATATATAGGCCTATAGATCTAGATCTAGAGCTACGGAAAAGCTAGACTTAAGCAAGCCGTAGATACTAGATCTAGATCTACACTCTATTTAGATCTAGAATCTAGGATCTATGCCAATAATTAGTTTCTATACTAAACTATTTCAGGCCTTTATTTTTTAAATTCATTTTTGTTTCCTTAGCTATGGAATTGGCTAATTTTGGATACACTTTAATTTGAAACAATAGGGCATTTTTGCGTAACTTATATTTCTTACGCAGCTATGTAAACTAAACCATTAATTTTTGTATCCATTCGGAACTTCCCAAATAACTAATATGATAGTGTAATAGTTACCTTGCGTGTGGTACGGGTTCGAGACACATTATATCAATGTTAATTTTTCTTTTTCAATTTTTTTCAATTTTTGTAAATATGTGAATTAATAATGTTGCCTATCGTGACTTGGCGGGACACGGGGCAAGTGAAGTAGAGTTCACCTATTTCTGTCTTCTCAGCATATGAAGAGCAAGTGTGGTCAGACCAATGTTCAGCCGAAATAGGTGTTTTTAAAAGACAAAAGCAACATAACTACCAATGAACAGCTGGGTTTTTTAACAAAATTATTTAAGTCTTTTAATTTTAAATGTCTTAATCAGCGTGTGTATTTAATATAGTTTTGTGTTGAATAATAATGTATATAGTTTAATTTTAATTTTTTAAATCGGTATTGGTAGTCTATGTTATTTTAAATGTGTCAGATTTTTAGCTATTTAGTTATTTCTTAGCTTTGTCACTAATATCGTTCAAAGTGTAGTAAAGCGCATTAACATTTTGACCAATACATTTTTATAAAATATTTTTCTCAAACAAGTATAATATTAAAATATTTAGGCCTATAATTCACGTGTATCGGGTACCGACGGCTAGTAATGTATATATATATATATATATATATATATATATATATATATATATATATATATATATATATATATATATATATATATATATATATATATATATATATATATATATATATATATATATATATATATATATATATATATATATATATATATATATATATATATATATATATATATAACAAAAAAGCACCTCGTAAATACCTGGCGCTGAGCTAGGCGCCCATTGGTAAACCCAGGTGTAGGCTATATATCTACCTGTGACCAGTTATTAAATATTATGATATTTAGGGTACAAAACATGACAGTTTCTAATTAATATTTTTAGCACGATACTGGATATTTGCAATGACCAGTGTTAAAGTTTAGAGGGATAAATCCATATGAAAGCCACCAAAAATAGATACAGCAGTATAAAGTTTAACCTAAATGCATTAACCCGTTTTTTTTAGTTTTCTATAAACTTTATGTACTCTATAAACTTTCTGTACTCTATAAACTGTATGTACTCTATAAACTTTATGTACTCTATAAACATTTTGTACTCTATAAACTTTTTGTACTCTATAAACTGTATGTACTCTATAAACTTTATGTACACTATAAACTGTATATACTCTATAGACTTTTTGATCTGTGGTCTAGAGACACTTGACCACCTTATTGCACATAAGTGTTAGCCACTTATCTTTGATTTTGGATTTCGTTAGTATAGAAGAAGTAAATGAATTAAAAATGTAACTTTCGTAAATATTCCCAGAGGCAAATAAATTGGGGGTATTAATAGTTTTCGAAATTTAAATACGGTAAAACGTAACGGTTGTTCCGTATTCATTAATATATGACGTTGGGCATTGTTTTCAATGTAAAATTACTGTATATAGAATTCCGATTTTCATACATGGCCGATAATATATATATATATATATATATATATATATATATATATATATATATATATACATATATAATTATGTGTGTGTGTGAGTGTATTTATTCCCTATTATTTACACTTTAAATACTAGTCCTACGTTTTAAATCTCACAAAATGTCAAGATTATAATTTAATGCCTACCTGATTTTTTCTTGCCATTACCGTTTGTCGAACTCTCAAATAATATATTTTGGTAATCTTCAAGAGTAAAGTTTACCACAGGATTCCAATCAGCTGTGAGGAAAATAAAGATAAAGATATTTATATAATATGTTAAGAGTTTTTGCCCTTTTTTAAAATTCGATGATGCTTGTTCTCCGGCTAATATGATAGAAAAAAATCAAAATTAAATTTCAGATTTAAACATGTTTATATTTTTGTTAAAAGTGGCATCTAAAACTTCCTGGAAGTGATTATCTAATAAAGTTGTGATTAATCTTATATATATATATATATATATATATATATATATATATATATATATATATATATATATATATATATATATATATATATATATATATATATATATGTATATATATATATAAAGTAATTACCCGGTTTGGTTGAATTGAATATGTTGTTTCCTGAGTGTAAAATCCTAAATTCCATCGGCCCCTTCTTTTTTTCTGCTACCAGAAGATGATACAACGCATTATACATAGGGTTAGGGTAGAACTTAATGAGAGCCGGGTTTCCATAATCAGTGTAGCATGGGTATTTGTCTTTGATGCAGTCGCGATTTGGGCATGGATACATAAAGACAAAGCAGTACTAAAAAAGAAGAAAATAAAACCAGGTTTTAGTTTTAGGGGTCACTCATAAATTTTTCACGATTTTTACCTCCTCTCTCACAAATCGTCACAGAAAGCCAGACCCCCCCCTCCCTTAGAATGACGTCACATTTCAGCGTACAAATCCTCCCTCCCCCCCCCTCAAAGTTGGAGTTGATTCTTTTTTAAAACATCGATATTTTTCCAAAATCTTGTCTAAACTCTTTCAACATAGATTATTTAAATCAATATCTATTACAATTTACTAAATTAGTTTTCTAAAACGCCAAATAAGTTGTTTTTTTTAAATTGCTTATTTTTAATGCAGAAGTGAGGCGTCACACCATCTGACCCCCCCCCCCCTCCCCTACCCCTCATCAAACACCGTTACAAAATTACTGATTCCCTTCCCCCTACGTGTGTGACGTCATTTTTTAACAACCCATTATCATAAATAGGTTGCAGTTAACTTCACATTGTAATACAAACTAGAGCATAGCCTTATTTGGTAAATTGGTCTGGTGTCCTACTCTGAAGCAGACAAAATTTATAAGAACGCAATATTCCTACTTTTCAAAATTAGCTGAAGGCACTTTAAACGTCAGAGTTTTCTGATTGTAATATTACGTGGCATTCTTGACCTATGATATAACGTGTCTGCAATGTTCATTCCTTGGATATTTTTTCCCTGTGATATTTTATTCCTTGCATATTTTCTTATGACGTATTTTGTCCTGCGGTATTTTGTCTTTACAAAATTTGTCATGCGAATTCTACTCGTTGTATTTCCTGCTCTGATATGTAATGTGCTGAGATGTATTTTCCTTCTAAAATAATTTTCCCTTTCAAAACTGTCGTTTCCTGATTCAGTATAGTTCACCTTTTCCTGTGATCTCGACGTGAGTGAAAGGTCTCGAACCCGAGATTTTTAGTAACCTACTGTGATCTCGAAGTGAGTGAAAGGTCTCGAACCCGAGATTTTTAGTAACCTACTGTTCCGAAGAGCCTGTTACGTCGGACTCCCAAGTCCCCTACATAATAACGTGGGGGAGGAGAGGTGCAAGACTGCCGGGAACCAAGAAGGGTTTGCTCTCGACCCTAACCAGATATCTTGACTTTAAGCTGCGGCCTTCATGTGGCTTCGGAAGAGTGCCACCAGTCGGACCAAGCTCATGACGCCCCCCCCCCCCCTAATCGGTGCGGAATGGCTAGTGGTAGCCAACAGCAGCTAGAGGTTTTTGATCTGGCCGAGTAGAACTGCTGTATGCGCTAGGTTCAAAGAATGGCCGAACGCCCCCCACGATCAAGCTGGGTACCAGGCGGTAGGACGACGCCCCGCGTATGGTGGGTGGGGAAGGAAAGCCCGGTGAAAGCCGACGGAAGTAGCGACCGATGTGTGGGGAACTCTTGTGGTCGGAGTTTGCTACACTGAGGCCTGCCCGGCTAATGGAAGTCAACCTTCTGAGCCGGTTTCCGTATAAGGAAGGAAGTAACCTACTGTACACTCTGCCTTACGATCAGGTCGACCCTTGCTCCATCCTTATACAAGAGCATTAATTATTAGCATTTCACAAAATTATTTTATTAACGTAAACATACGAATAGAGGAAGGCGAGACACTTCTGAGCAAGCAAACCACGAGCCTAATGGACAATATCGGATGTAAACCATCCTGGGGGGGTCCGGGTTTGTATTAGGATCATAAAAACGTGCCACGACTCTGCCAGTGTAGCGGCAACTATAGTTGACACAATCTCGCTCATAGCCTTCAATTGTGGCATTAAAACCTTTCTGGCAGACTATTGTGTCTGAAAAGAAATGAGTAAAATTTATTTTATAACCAGATGCAATGCATAGAAACAGCAGCAAAGTACATACTATGTAAAATTAAATCAATAGGCTTGTTCTAAAAATAGTCTATTGTTTTCTTTTGAAGTAAAACACTCCTTAGATTAACCTTAACATATAATGTACATGTACCTCGATGCAATACATCAAATTATAAAATTAAGTAGTCTTCACATTAGCTTCAAGTTAGTAAAATGAAAACACCTATGTGTAAAATATATCGTTACATAACTATTACTTCTTTACGTCATTGGCTTCAAGTTAGTTAAATGAAAACACCTATGTGTAAAATATATCGTTACATAACTATTACTTCTTTACGTCATTATATTAGCAACGATATGAAACACTTAGATGTAAGACGTCTTAATATACATCTCACATTCAAATATCACATTTACTTTAGCTATCAATACAGGTCAACCTACCAGGCAGACAAACAACGAAAAACACTAGTGTTAAAATGGCCAAAACTTTGTCCATCGTGGGATTCTGTTGATATCAAAATCATACATTTTAAAACTGCTGCACAAGTAGTTTTTAAAACAGCATGTATTTCTTTAAGGTTAAGGTTAAGGTTAAGGTTAAGGTTAAGGTTAAGGTTAAGGTTAAGGTTAAGGTTAAGGTTAAGGTTAAGGTTAAGGTTAAGGTTAAGGTTAAGGTTAAGGTTGAGGTTGAGATTGAGATTGAGGTTGAGGTTGAGGTTGAGGTTGAGGTTGAGGTTGAGGTTGAGGTTGAGGTTGAGGTTAAGGTTAAGGTTAGGGTTAAGGTTAGGGTTAGGGTTAGGGTTAGGGTTAGGGTTAGGGTTAGGGTTAGGGTTAGGGTTAGGGTTAGGGATAGGGTTAGGGTTAGGGTAAGGGTTTGGGTTCGGGTTCGGGTTCAGGTTCAGGTTCAGGTTCAGGTTCAGGTTCAGGTTCAGGTTCAGGTTCAGGTTCAGGTTAAGGTTAAGGTTCAGGCTCAGGCTCAGGCTCAGGCTCAGGTTCAGGTTCAGGTTCAGGTTCAGGTTCAGGTTCAGGTTCAGGTTCAGGTTCAGGTTCAGGTTCAGGTTCAGGTTCAGGTTCAGGTTCAGGTTCAGGTTCAGGTTCAGGTTCAGGTTCAGGTTCAGGTTCAGGTTCAGGTTCAGGTTCAGGTTCAGGTTCAGGTTCAGGTTCAGGTTCAGGTTCAGGTTCAGGTTCATTTTCAGGTTCATGTTCAGGTTCATTTTCAGGTTCATTTTCAGGTTCATTTTCAGGTTCATTTTCAGGTTCATTTTCAGGTTCAGGTTCAGGTTCAGGTTCAGGTTCAGGTTCAGGTTCAGGTTCAGGTTCAGGCTCAGGCTCAGGCTCAGGTTCAGGCTCAGGCTCAGGCTGAGGTTCAGGTTCAGGTTCGGGTTCGGGTTCGGGTTCAGGTTCAGGTTCAGGTTCAGGTTCAGGTTCAGGTTCAGGTTCAGGTTCAGGTTCAGGTTCAGGTTCAGGTTCAGGCTCAGGCTCAGGCTCAGGCTCAGGCTCAGAATCAGGTTCAGGTTCAGGTTCAGGTTCAGGTTCAGGTTCAGGTTCAGGTTCAGGTTCAGGTTCAGGTTCAGGTTCAGGTTCAGGTTCAGGTTCAGGTTCAGGTTCAGGTTCAGGTTCAGGTTCAGGTTCAGGTTCAGGTTCAGGTTCAGGTTCAGGTTCAGGTTCAGGTTCAGGTTCAGGTTCAGGTTCAGGTTAAGGTTAAGGTTAAGGTTAAGGTTAAGGTTAAGGTTAAGGTTAAGGTTAAGGTTAAGGTTAAGGTTAAGGTTAAGGTTAAGGTTAAGGTTAAGGTTAAGGTTAAGGTTAAGGTTAAGGTTAAGGTTAAGGTTAAGGTTAAGGTTAAGGTTAAGGTTAAGGTTAAGTTAGGGTTAAGGTTAGGGTTGAGGTTAGGGTTAGGGTTAGGGTTAGGGTTAGGGTTAGGGTTAGGGTTAGGTATAGGGTTAGGGTTAGGGTTAGGGTAAGGGTTTGGGTTTGGGTTAAGGTTCAGGTTCAGGTTCAGGTTCATGTTCAGGTTCAGGTTCAGGTTCAGGTTCAGGTTCAGGTTCAGGTTCAGGTTCAGGTTCAGGTTCAGGTTCAGGTTAAGGTTAAGGTTAAGGTTAAGGTTAAGGTTAAGGTTAAGGTTAAGGTTAAGGTTAAGGTTAAGGTTAAGGTTAAGGTTAAGGTTAAGGTTAAGGTTAAGGTTAAGGTTAAGGTTAAGGTTAAGGTTAAGGTTAAGGTTAAGGTTAAGGTTAAGGTTAAGGTTAAGGTTAAGGTTAAGGTTAAGGTTAAGGTTAAGGTTAAGGTTAAGGTTAAGGTTAAGGTTAAGGTTAAGGTTAAGGTTAAGTTAGGGTTAAGGTTAGGGTTGAGGTTAGGGTTAGGGTTAGGGTTAGGGTTAGGGTTAGGGTTAGGGTAAGGGTTTGGGTTTGGGTTAAGGTTCAGGTTCAGGTTCAGGTTCAGGTTCAGGTTCAGGTTCAGGTTCAGGTTCAGGTTCAGGTTCAGGTTCAGGTTCAGGTTCAGGTTCAGGTTCAGGTTCAGGTTCAGGTTCAGGTTCAGGCTCAGGCTCAGGCTCAGGTTCAGGTTCAGGTTCAGGTTCAGGTTCAGGTTCAGGTTCAGGCTCAGGCTCAGGCTCAGGCTCAGGCTCAGGCTCAGTTTCAGGTTCAGGTTCAGGTTCAGGTTCAGGTTCAGGTTCAGGTTCAGGTTCAGGTTCAGGTTCAGGTTCAGGTTCAGGTTCAGGTTCAGGTTCAGGTTCAGGTTCAGGTTCAGGTTCAGGTTCAGGTTCAGGTTCAGGTTCAGGTTCAGGTTCAGGTTCATGTTCAGGTTCAGGTTCAGGTTCAGGTTCAGGTTCAGGTTCAGGTTCAGGTTCAGGTTCAGGTTCAGGTTCAGGTTCAGGTTGCGGTTGCGGTTGCGGTTGCGGTTGCGGTTTCGGTTGCGGTTGCGGTGCGAGGATATTGAACGGTTTATTATTTATTTTTTTGACGATGTGTGTTGGGGCAGTGAAAGGGGCTTGGGGTTCAGATAATGTCATTACACTCTTTCTTCTTTAAAAAAGTGATATTAGAAACTTAAGTTTAGCAGTTTTTTAGCGTTTTAGAAATTCGTTTTTGTTCATCCTAATAGAAATAGTTTTACATATTATACGTTGACAGAGTTCAATTAATATATTAGACGGAAATTGACGAAAAGAAAAATTGCTCAGTTCTTTCATGGATACACAAAAGGCAAGATTGTCAAAAAAGACGTTTTGGTCCATGGCAACTAATTTAATCGGGTTTCCCTCCACAAAGACATAGGTACATAGTCTATATAAAGTAGATCTAGACCAAGTTTTGAGTTAGTTTACAGATGTATTAATAAAATTAATATACGAATGCAAATTCTAATTAATAATATTTCTTACTTCATATGCTTTAAGTTTATCCTCATAGATCTATGTCTTAAGTGATGTTTGCAGTACGCATACGCTAGCTATAGTGCAAAATGACGTTAAAAAATTAAACTGCTCTTGGTTTAAGCAATGTTTACAGTGCGCATACGTTTAGTTTTAGTGCTAAATGACGCGCGAACGAACGATTCATAAAAAGTGGCATAAAATAAATTTCATAAAATCATAAAAATGTTTTATCTATCTATCTATAGGCCTACACTAGGCTACTAAAAGTGAGAATTTTGTATTTTTTTTCTTTTGTTTGTCTGCTCCGTTACATGTGAGCAGTGGCGTAGCCAGGATCGTCTCAAGGGGGGGGGGGGGTTCCAATTTTTACCTGGGGACAAACTTTCGATTTGCACCCCCCTCAAACTTTCGATTTGCACCCCCCCCCCCACTCAAACTTTCGATTTGCACACCCCCCCTCAAACTTTCGATTTGCACCCCCCCCCATCAAACTTTCGATTTGCACCCCCCCCCTCTTACTTTTTATATATATACCGAGGGGTCTATGGGGGGTTATGACCCCCCTAACCCCCCCCCCCCTGCTTACGCCACTGCATGTGAGTATCTGTCCTATGTATAGAACAGTAAAATGCGTATTTATGTTAATCATAAATTTATGTAGAGACGTTTATTAATTTAATTGATATATTTATTTGTAGATACACCCTTTAATTATAAAAGTTCAGAATAAAGACTTTATTGTTTACAAAAAGTAAAAAAAAAACTTGACGTCACTTGATTTAGTTAATTAGAAATGTTAACTACTATGTACGCTTTCGAAACTTAAGGTCTATAAATTAGAGTTCACCCGTTTCTGTAAACTCGGCATTAAACTCGGCATATGAAGGAATAGTGTGGGTTTCCTTTTCCTAACGTGGCAAGTATTCATCAGAAGTGGGTGGACCCAGGAACGCTTAAAAAACAATCGTGTCTGCATTTTAGTGCATAATTATATAAAAGCTTGTAACTAAAAGGTTCCTTTTTTAAATTACTGCGATAATAAAATTAGAGAAAAAAAAAGAAATAAGAAACGTTTTAAAAGAATATTGTACTTATACACAGAAAGGCTCAGGGAGGAACTACAATGGCGTCAGAACCCGCAATGTGAAGAGGGGGGGGGGGGGGTTGGGGGCGAGGCCGCTTAGGGTGCCCACAGTAAACTTACACTAACACTAACCTTAAACTCAATATTTGCCCAATATTGACTATATCTTGGCCCAATATTGGCTATATATTGGCTATACCGTGGCTCAATCTGAGTTATATCCTGGCTTTATCTTGGCCCAAATTATGGTTTTCAGCATAAATAAACCGGGAGTGATCTCCCCTAAACTTTCTCGAATAGTCTTATATAAAACAACAGGCGATGGGAACTCGGGATATAGTTATGATTTTTAATCCATTTTAAATACTTAAAATTTTTAAAAATAGAATAGAATCTCATACAAAAAAAACTGCGCGCCAAGCGAACGCCGAATAAAGATGTGTATAATAGTGCGGAATATTATTAGTACTTTATAAATTCACATACGTTTTTTTTTAGAAATCGTAAAAAAGTAAAAATTACTACTTCAGGTCAACGGACATGACTAAAAATTTGACAGAAGGCAGAAAACTAGATCATTTACTTACATGTGAAATTTCATTTATCTATCTGATATAGTACTCAAGTTATAGGCTTTTGAAAAATTCAAAGTAGAAAAAGTACCACTTCCGGTTATCGGAAATCGCTCAAAAGTTTATACGGATCTACGATTTGGATAAAAACTTATATATGAAATTTCATCAACCTAGCTGTAACGGTACTCAAGTAATCGTGTTTACACACGGACAGACAGACACACAGACACACAGACATATTAATAAATTTTAAAAGATAAGAAGCAGTTTCAGTCGGCTATGTTGCCCAGACAGAGCAAGAGCAAGAGCCTCGTCACCCGCTGGTGCTGTATCACGGCCAGTTTCACCCCACACTGAAGCAGAATTAACATCACCCCACAGTGAAGTAGAATTAACATCAACCCACCGTGAAGTAGAATTAACATCAACCCAACGTGAAGTAGAATTAACATCAACCCACCGTGAAGTAGAATTAACATCAACCCATCGTGAAGTAGAATTAACATCACCCGACAGTGAAGTAGAATTAACATCAACCCACCGTGAAGCAGAATTAACATCAACCCACCGTGAAGTAGAATTAACATCAACCCATCGTGAAGTAGAATTAACATCAACCCACAGTGAAGTAGAATTAACATCAACCCACCGTGAAGCAGAATTAACATCAACCCACCGTGAAGCAGAATTAACATCAACCCACCGTGAAGTAGAATTAACATCAACCCACCGTGAAGCAGAATTAACATCAACCCACCGTGAAGTAGAATTAACATCAACCCACAGTGAAGTAGAATTAACATCAACCCACCGTGAAGTAGAATTAACATCAACCCACAGTGAAGTAGAATTAACATCAACCCACAGTGAAGCAGAATTAACATCACCCTACCGTGAAGTAGAATTAACATCAACCCACAGTGAAGTAGAATTAACATCAACCCACAGTGAAGTAGAATTAACATCAACCCACAGTGAAGCAGAATTAACATCAACCCACCGTGAAGCACAATTAAGATCAACCCACCGTGAAGCAGAATTAACATCACCCTACCGTGAAGTAGAATTAACATCAACCCACCGTGAAGTAGAATTAACATCACCCTACCTTGAAGTAGAATTAACATCAACCCACAGTGAAGCAGAATTAACATCAACCCACAGTGAAGTAGAATTAACATCAACCCACCGTTAAGTAGAATTAACATCACCCCACCGTGAAGCAGAATTAACATCAACCCACAGTGAAGTAGAATTAACATCAACCCACCGTGAAGTAGAATTAACATCAACCCACCGTGAAGTAGAATTAACATCAACCCACAGTGAAGAAGAATTAACATCAACCCACCGTGAAGTAGAATTAACATCACCCTACCGTGAAGTAGAATTAACATCACCCCACCTTGAAGCACAATTAACATCAACCCACCGTGAAGCAGAATTAACATCAACCCACCGTGAAGTAGAATTAAGATCAACCCACCGTGAAGCAGAATTAACATCACCCGACAGTGAAGCAGAATTAACATCAACCCACCGTGAAGCAGAATCAACATCAACCCACCGTGAAGTAGAATTAACATCAACCCACCGTGAAGTAGAATTAACATCACCCCACCGTGAAGTACAATTAACATCAACCTATCGTGAAGTAGAATTAACATCAACCCACCGTGAAGCAGAATTAACATCACCCCACCGTGAAGCAGAATTAACATCAACCCACCGTGAAGTAGAATTAACATCACCCCACAGTGAAGCAGAATTAACATCAACCTATCGTGAAGTAGAATTAACATCAACCCACCGTGAAGCAGAATTAACATCAACCCACCGTGAAGCAGAATTAAGATCACCACAACGTGAAGCAGAATTAAGATCACCACAACGTGAAGCAGAATTAACATCAACCTATCGTGAAGCACAATTAACATCACACGACAGTGAAGCAGAATTAACATCAGCCCACTGTGAAGTAGAATTAACATCAACCCACAGTGAAGTAGAATTAACATCAACCTATCGTGAAGTAGAATTAACATCAACCCACAGTGAAGCAGAATTAACATCAACCTATCGTGAAGCACAATTAACATCACACGACAGTGAAGCACAATTAACATCAACCAACAGTGAAGCAGAATTAACATCAACCTATCGTGAAGCACAATTAACATCACACGACAGTGAAGCACCATCACAAGGTCCAGAAAGTTTGGAATCTCCAACTGTAAGCACAAATGTCGTTTAGCTTGCGCCTAAGTTGCAGAATTGTTTTTTAGCTGTTGTTTCAATGATTAAATGTGTCTTGCTTTGTTCATACAGTATACCAGCACAAGACTTTGAGGGGAGATAAGAGGCAAGTTCGAAAAGAAATGGAAGCACAAAAGCTAGAGATATTAGCGACAAATACTGGAGAAAAATATATAGGATCCTAAAACGTTTCTTTTTTTCTCATTCGAAGAATGTAAACTTTTTCATATTTAAAAAAATATCCTTATTAGGATTACAGCAGCTGAAATATTTCTTCCCTGTTATTTATATGTAACTTGCTGAATTAACATTTTTTTAAAATTTTTTTGTCTATATTTTAAAATTTGGCAACATGATCAGATTTTGTTCAATACAGTTACTATGTTGGGTTTGCATATCTAATATGATTGTGGATAACCTTTTAATCCACTACTGATTAATTTGACTGGTTTGCAATAATTGTCTTAAAGACTAGAAAATACTATAAAGGATAACTAATAAAGCAACTAAACGTAGACTATACAGTTTTACTCTGTTTTAAATATATTGACTAACATGCACTAGAAAAAACTCTTTTCTATTTAAAATAAGGCAGAATTTAAAAAAAATCTAATTAAACTTTGAAAAATAAAAGTAAGGTACATTGTATTTCTTTTTATAATATAACATGAACAAAAATGTACAAAAATATAGGGCATTATAAATAGAAACCTATATTTTTATCTTTTTCAAACAGTATTTATCTTCTGTTTTCGTTATAAAATACTCCCAAATATATTATGTGATGTATTTATTTTTTAAATTAGATTTGGAATTCTTTATTTTTTTTAGTAATAATATTTACAATAGTATTTAAAAAATGGGGTATACCTTTTCAAACCCTAAAAAAAAAATAAAGTTTACTTAAGCTTTAAAGCTATTTTTTATTAAAGCATAACTACAATTATTTTTATTTTTACCTTAATAATTAATTAATTTTCAATGTATAGGTCTATTTATTTTTGGCTTATTCTAGCCGGAAAAAGATTCGCATGCGCAATGGAGAGAAACTACCGCCTTAATTCGCGGCGATGTTTTTGATGGTAGGCTACTGTGAATGCGTTAACAAACATGAGGACTGTATAGCAATTTCTGAAAATACTTGACAGAAGCTCTTTTTTTTTAAAATCTTTAGATGTTTTTATATTTCAAACATGCCTTGCTTGTTTATTTTAT